TACTTTACTTAACTTAATTAAGTAACTACTAACGTAATACTACTTCTCTCTATACGTACGGTACGTACTTTACTTTTACGTTTAACGTTTACTTACTACTCTCTCTCTCTCTCTCTCTCTCTCTCTCTCTCTCTCTCTCCATTTTCTACTCTATTTGAAAATTAAACCGACATTCTCTTTTTGCTTTGTGGCAACTTTGGTGCTTTACATGCTCTCCTATTCTGCGCAATAATCGGAGAGATTTATTGTGATTTTTGTTTCTAAATATCCTCAGGATTATTTTGCCCAAGTTACCTTCTTCCAAACTGAATTATATAAGCAAGAGAGTAAATACAACCTGGAGATAGGGTTTAGTGATTTAGGGTTTGGGGTTTGGGGTCTAGGGTTTAGGGTTCAAGTATCGTTGTGAATAGGAAAGTCCATCATCTTTAACAAAATATTCATAAAATTCCTCTACAAAGCACATCATCCACCATTTTACCTACCAAAATTTCCAACAAAATATAAGAATTGCCCTATTTGTAGGGCATTCAATAACTGTAACATCGGACCACCCAACATTTTTTGCCTAATGTTGTCCATGGGGCAGTCCAAAGTTATAAACATTAGAGAACGCCTATATTTTGTTGCTCTGAGTTTTCAAATATTGGACTGCTTTTGAATTATATTTTTCCCTAATTATTTACGCTCTAGTGTTCAAAAGCCGGTACCGCTTAATACAAAAGGTTATGAAAATGGAGTATTATTGGCCCACCTTATAAAAGGAGATAGGTCAAAATGTAGGGCGGTCCGATTTTGTCGTTATTGGACCGCGTTGCAAATGGGCCAACTTAATATTTTAGTTAGTAAACCACCCCATAAATGTTAAAAAGAAAAAAGCAAAAAAAAATGATTCGAAACAACGGGAAACAAAATAGAAATAGGGAGAGTAGGACCTTGTAGTAAATTCACCAAACTTAATAGACCAAAGGGTAAATTTAGTTATTTTACAACATCTACCGCTTGTATAATAATAAAAGGAGTAATTTATGTATGGACACAAATCATCATCATAGCCTTTTTCCAATTAGTTAGGGTTGGATATACGAATCGTGGTATGCAATTTTGTCCTATTCGATACCATATACTCGATGGGGCCCTAAGTCCCCATATTTTTTCAGACTACTTCCAACTACGTCGTTTTGGGCCTACTCCTCGCCCTCTTCAATCTTTCCACTTGTACTAATGCATACCTCCTAGCATGTGGTGTACTGAGTCGGAGCCACACATGGCCAGCCCACCTTAGTCTACTTTCTCTTATATTATTGCCTATTGGTGTCGCACTTAAATTTTTCCAAATACAAAATGGGTTACTTTTGTATGGACACAAATAAAATATGTTAAATACAAAATGGGTCACTTTTGGGCTAAAATTATGTGAAGGGTCGGTCAAAAGGTCATTTTTTTATTTCCAAATTTTCTATCTATCCGGAATCCTCGGAATGCGTGTTATTTTTGCTTTTAATTTTTCAAAGTAGGGTTGTGGAGTCGTGTTCAATGCGGTTCTAGAATGCCAACCTCGGACTACCCAAAAGCCACCAAAACCAAAGTTGGATATGGCTGAATGTTGCTAGAAGTTATCTAAAAAAACTAGGAAATCTTTATGAAAGAATTGAACTTCATCGATATTTTTTAGTTTGAAAGCATCGAAGGGTGCAATGCGGTTCAGGTTCTAAAGATTATAACCTCGTACCATTCTAACACCATCAAGACAAGGCATCAAAGGCGATCCGAGCTTCACATCCTCGGATCGCTTGTTCTAGAGTAGTTCAATACGGTCTAAGGATGCCAAACTCGGACAGACTTCATTTATCGAAGAAAAAGAAAAAAACAAAAAGTAGTTAGAGGTTGGTATCCTCGGATCGAAGGTTAGTTTAGGAATTAGAAAAAAATGACCTTTTGACTGACCGTTTGAGTAATTTTGGCCCAACAGTGACCCATTTTATTTTTTTATTTAATTATTTTGTGTCCATCGTAAATTGCTGTAATAAAAATGGTGCCATATTGTCTTTTAAAAAGACATTTCCTTGTCGTTTTGTTGTCAATCTTTGTCTGGATGTTCGAATAAAATTCCGTGCTAGAATTCTTTTGTTCACAAAAACAAAAAGAAAGAAAGCAAAAAAGAAAAGAGGCCTTCAAATTTTCATTCTTTTGTTTGCAGTCTCAATTGCAGTAATCAGGCACCTATGCAGTTCGGTATAAGTAGTTTTTCAATACAACAGTACTCCTTTTTTGTACCGCACCGTCTTCTCACTCTCAAACATTGCATTACCTAAGGCAAGAGGTTGATAGAGGTAGTAATGGGTTGGGTCGGTTCCGGTCAACCTAGACTTGGATGGACCCAGACCCAAATCGGGTTGTCCCATCTTCTCACTCTCTAACCTTGCAAGCTTAAGGCAAGAGGTTGGTAGGGTTAACAATGGGCTGGGTTAGGTCCGATTGATCTAGACTTGGACAGAACCCAGACCCAAATCAGGTTGAAGATAGTGACCTATACCCAAAACGAGACCCAAATTGGATTGCCCAGTCTTCTCACTCTCAAACTTGCATAGCATAAGGCAAGAGGTTGATCGGGATAGCAAAGGGCTGGGTCAAGTTTAGTTGACCTACACTTGGACAGGACCCAGACCCAAATAGGGTTGAATATTGTGGATCCAGACACAAACCTAGACCCGGACCCTAATCGGATTGCTCCGTCTTCTCAATCTCTAACCTTTCATAACTTAAGGCAAAATTTGGTCAAGGTAGCAATGGGCTGGATCAGGTCCACTTGACCTAGACTTGGATGGGACACAGACCCATAGGGTTGAAGATTGTGGACCCAAACCCAAACCCAAACCCAAACCCAAACCCAAAATCAAGTTGCCCCTTCTTTGCACTCTCTAACTTTGCAAAGCTTAAGGCAAGAATGTGGTCAGGGTAGCAATGGGCTGGGTCAGGTTCAGTGGACCTAGACTTCGACGGTACCCAGTTGAAGATTGTGGACCCAGACCCAACCCGTAACCTAAATCGGGTTGACACGACCCAATTCCCACCTTGCAGTTGGGGACCGTGTCTACTCCAAAGTCAGCCTGTACTACCGCGTGAGGCATTGCGTAATTAAAGATTGAGCCGCACATAAATAAGTATCACACGAAGCACATGGTTTGCAATACGGTCAGTCAATCTTTACGCGCTACCCAATATTTTACAAAAGCTTCCCCATGCCCCATAATAATTATAATAAAACTATCATTATATATAGACACTGACCTGTACTTGATTGTAGGGGGACTCGTCTTCTCTCTCTTCTCATCTCTCTTCTCCACCGTTTTTGTTGGTTCTTTGTCGGATAGTTCAGTGCGGAGATCCCTGTATCCGGTTGGTGGAATTGAAGCCTCAGATCTGAGCGCTGCGAATTTTATCGCCTTTCTTCTTCATCTGCGAGCAATGGACGGCGATGGTAGCTTGAACTCCCCCCTGTTAATTCGGAGCTGGGAAGATGAGAGTGCCAAAGAGTTGGAGTTTGCAGATGGGCCCAAATGGAGGAAGGAAGATGTTTTGGGGGAGTTGAAGAAACAGGTTGCACTGGGTGGACCTTTGGTTACAGCAAACTTGTTGCAGAAATGCATGCAGATTGTTTCAGTTATGTTTGTAGGGCATCTTGGTGAGCTCCCTCTTGCTGGTGCTTCCATGGCTACTTCCTTTGCTAATGCCATAGGCTTCAGCGTACTGGTATGTCCACCAATCTCTCTCTCTCTCTCTCTCTCTCTCTCTCAATTTTGGTGTTTTTTCACATTTCATAGACGCCATGTTTAAGAAAAACAGTAGTGATAGATGTTTGAGATCCAAAAATGTCGGCCCAGAGTTGGCAAACCCCATTTTTTGGAATTATTAATTGAAAATACAGAAAACTATGGGCACACGAGATTTCAAATTTGTATTTACCAGTAATGTTCAAGAGTCCACCTCACCTAGACCCAAAATTGAATCCCAAATCTAGTTTGGGGTTTCGATTTGAATTGTGAGATAAAGTTCCGACAAAATTTGAGGCATTGATTCACACCAAGTACAATGATCAGAGGACAAATTTTGTGCGTGTTTCATCTTTGAAATTCTTAAAATAATTAATTTTTTTACTAAAAAACTTGTATTTGAGTTACTATTCATTTTGAGTTTTTTTTTATTTATATGTTTTTTATTATTCTTGTTTTCCTGATATTTCCATTTCTCAGTCTTTTTCTGTTTTAAGCTAACATTACTTCTTGTATTATTTTTTTTAATGTAACAATATGGCTTATAGTCCACACTCCACAAGAAATAATTATCGGGTTTTTTCGCCATATGTTTTGTTTTGGGAAAAGTAAAAAGTTTAGGTAAGATGGAGACCATAAAGAATTAAAGATGCACCTAAAAAATCTATTGTTTTAATGTTGAAAAACCCTCTAATTGATCATCTTACCTCCCCGAGATATATGCATATGAAAAAAAAAATTTATTTTGAATCCCAAAAATAGTGAATCTTGCAACAAATTATCTAGGCCGTCCATTTTCAGGACTTTAATGTGTTTACAAATCTATTTGATTTTAATTATTTTTAGAATTTAAAATTTTGTAATTAGATATGAAAATAAATTTTGAAATATTCTTAAGAATTTTTTACAACAAAATTATATGGTAGGATAAAATTTGGACGTGTCGGTTAATTGGATTGCCTAAGTTTTATAAAGACTACACCCTTTGGAAAATATAAAGTAAACACGAAATAATTATTGGGCGTTTTCGCCCGCATGCGTTGGAAACTACAGAATAGAAATGAATGAATGATTTATTTTACCTTTCGTATTAAACAATTTGCATCCCCAGGTTACTGGTTGATCTGCACGAATTTATGAGTGGGTTTTATGGAATTTGAGTTGTTTGAAAGGTGAGTAAATGATTCAAAAGCTTTTAGAGAGATAAAGTGCAGTGAAAAAAGGTTGGCAGGATTTATTTACCAAAAATATGAAAAGTGAGTAAATTATTGAAATGCTTTTAGAGAGATAAAGTGTGGTGAGCTAAGGTTCGTAGGATTTAGTTAAAAAAAGAACGGGATTTACAAAGCAGATGTACTTCCTTTTTGTAGTGAGAAAGGGTTTTTGTAGTGAGAAAGGGTTGCGCTCGTGAGAGCGATCACTTTCGCTCTCACAAAAACGATATCCTTTTTAAAATGACGAATATATGAGACTCCCTGATTGATTTTATTTATTATAAGTAAGAGCTTCAATGAGTTAAAAATAAATAAAAAAAAAGGGAAATAAAGGAAAAGGACAAGAACAAGAGACAGAGAGAGGTACAGCCAGTCAAGAGAAAACTGCGTTGGCCAAGAAATAAGACTCCATTGTTATTTATGAAAGGGTACTAGTTTTTAGTTTTAAATTTATGATGGGGTTTTACGGCCATCTTAGATATTTTTGTTGCCAAAGTACTTTGGGACAAAGATTTGAGGTCATGCTTTATTTTATTTAATAAAATAAAGCCAAGGCCTTATAAAGATCTCGTCATGTATTAATATTATTTTGAGGAGAGAGATTATAATCTTTATGAAGTTGCCACGTTTTTTTTTTGGCCACGGTTTCTATGTGGTCAGAACGCATATTGTGGATGGGCTTGACAATAAATATATTTTTTAAATATAGTTTGATCTTAACTTTTAAATAACATATAATTTTTATCATGAAGATCATGAATAAAAAAAATAAAAATAAAAATTAAAACCTAAAAGTAATAGTCATATTTAAAAAACATTTGAACCGTTAGGTACAATTGTTTTTAGATATACCACATATTTCTATCTATCTTTAATTGTTGTACTGAGTTACTATTCATTTTGAGTTTTTTCTTTATGTTTTTTATTATTCGTGTTTTCCTGATATTTCCATTTCTCAGCCTTTTTCTGTTTTTTAAGCTAACATTACTTCTTTTTTTTTCTCTTTTAAATGTAACATTATGGCTAATATGTTCTCTTCTGATTTACAAAAGTTTTGGATTCTTTGTATTTTTTATTTTTCAGATTTTTCACATTTTATGGGGATTTTCTATGTCTTCTTCACCACTTAGATATGCGTAGGTTTTAGAGAAAAAAATATATAGTCCACAAGAAATAATTATTGGGCCTTTTCGCCATATGTTTTGCTTTAGGAAAATATACGAAATAATTATTGGGCGGTTTGGCCACATGCGAGTAGATATGAATGAATGAATTACTTCACCTTTCGTGTTAAACAATTCGCATCCCCACGTGACTGGTTGATCTGCACCAATTTATGAGGTGGTTTTATGGAATTTGAGTTGTTTGAAAGGTGAGTAAATGGTTCAAAAGCTTCTAGAGAGATAAAAGTGCAGTGAGGAAAGGTTGGCAGGATTTATTTACCAAAAAAATTATAAGTGAGTAAATTATTGAAATGCTTTTAGAGAGATTAAGTTGGTAGGAGTTAGTCAAAAAAGAAAAGTGGTTAGGATTTAGAAAGCAGAGTGACTTCTTTATTGTATTAAGAAAGGGGAGAGCGATATTTTCTATCTATTTATTTATTTATTAATCATTATTATTATTATTTTATTTGAAAAAGTAGGAGCTTCATTATGATAATGAATAGAGTACAAGGGAAAAGGAAAATAAAGGTCAAGAAAAAAATAGACGGTAGCCTGTTGGCTAAGAAATGAGCCTCCCTGAATATTTATGAAAGGGGTACTCTTTTTGAGTTTGGGTTGGAAACTGAAAGGGTGCTATTTTTTATTCTCTTTTCACTTGCACTCGTTTTAATGGTGCTTGATGTGACTTACTTGTATGCGCGTGCCCTGCGTGATAGGCCTGCCTCGGTTTTTTAGTTTAAGTAGCTAAAATGGTAAATTCTTTATTAATATCACCCGGGGTAAAACTTTTCAAAAAACGAGGGTAGAATCAACAATTCTAACCCACAATTTGGTTCATTTATTTCCTTTTACTCAAACATGATGTTAAGAAATAGTTTACCCAAAATTTTGAGATTATTTTAGTAATTTGACTTACTTGAGTCGCTCAAGTGAAATGACATTGCTTGTTTTTATGTTTCAAAATAAGATCATGTTTTTTATTAAAAAAATATTCTTATTGTGGAAGTTGAAACAAGTAAGGGTATTTTTAATTTAACTTCACTAAAGTTACCCTAATTAAAAGATGTGTGTACTGTTTCATGAATTGGGTTCCATACTCGAGATTAGGCTTTATAACAAGGAAATATGTTTAGAGTTTGGAACCCAAAATAAACAAGGATGTTTAGGTCATTTGGTTGAGTAGCTTGAGTCCAAATAACTAAAATTCTCGCACTTGCTTAAAGCTCTGGAAGCAAAAACATGATATGTTAAACAACGCAAGTAATAAAATATGCTTAAAAACTATGTTAAACAAGCAAGAAAATATAATCATGGAAATTATTTTCTATAATTTTATTGAAAGTGGAACATCTAAACAATATTTTAAAAAAATTTAAAAGTATTCCTCTTTATAATATTGAGGATCCGATTAGGATATTGAGAATCATTGAGTATCATGTGTTTTGATATTGAATAGTTCCTAAAGAGCCATATAGGACTGCTAAACCGGTCTTGTTGACTTGTCAACCTCGCAAATTGACTTATCATGAATGAAGGTTTCGACGTGGTGAGTTGATATATTGTACGGTCCACTTCATGACATATAGATATAGATTTGGGCCGAGACAACTTGACTTGTTATTTATATAAATGGATTATCTACAAAGAGACCATTTATCTTTTATACACGGTGGTCGCAATCATCTTTGTCCGTTAAATTTCATAATAAGGCACGCGTTATGAAATTTAAGAGACAAGATTGATTGTGACTTACATGTACAAAAGATAGATGATATCTTTACAGAAAACCCCTTATATAAATAATATACCTATATTGCTTTATATTTTATATTTTATTGATTTATAATACAAAATTATTTGAATTTATTTTAATCTATTTTATACCATATTTTATACCATGGTCTGAACCCAACTTGACTGGTTAGATTGTCTTTAATTTTTCTTATGGACTTAGACCCAATTGAGGTCTGGATCGGGTTCCCACCACTATTGGGCTAGACATCTGACGCTCATGTTTATTCTTCATATTGTTTCTTTTTTCCACTACGGCATGGGTCGGGTTCCCACCACGATTGGGCTAGACATTTGACACTCATGTTTATTCTTCATATTGTTTCTTTTTTCCAGTACGGCATGGGAGGTGCGCTCGACACGCTATGTGGACAAGCTTATGGTGCGAAACAGTATCATAGGGTTGGTGTACATGCACAAAGAGCTCAGTTTATATTCTTAATCATTGGCATTCCCATGTCTCTTATATTGTATAACACAGAAAAGATCCTACTAGCAGTTGGGCAAGATTCACAGCTGTCGAAAGAAGCAGGCAGTTATGCTACATGGATGATCCCAGCCCTCTTTGCTTATTCTCTCCTTCAAACCCTAACCAGGTTCCTCCAAACCCAAAATGTTGCTCTTCCAATAATGCTGAGCACTGGTATTACTTCATTGCTTCACCTCCCAATTTGTTGGGTTTTGGTTTTGAAGTCTGGTTTAGGAAACAAGGGTGCTGCTCTAGCAAATTCAGTCTCCTATTTCTTAAATGTCATACTACTCTCATTGTATGTGAAGTTCTCTGCTTCTTGCGTGAAGACTTGGACTGGTTTCTCGATGGAAGCTTTTCAGGACATTGCACAATTTTTTAGGCTTGCAATACCTTCCACCGTAATGGGCTGGTAATAAAACCTGTTGTTCACTCTTCGTTGTTTTTATCTTTTTGTCTCGTTCTTTACACATTTTCCTCTCCTGATGAAGGATCATAAAATATGAGTTCTTACAGTTGATTGTCTTATTGAATATGAACAGTTTGGAGTGGGCCTCTTATGAAATATTGATCCTTCTGAGTGGTCTTCTTCCCAACCCAAACCTTGAAGCATCTGTGCTGGCAATATGGTAAACAACGTAGACATTTCTTTCACTATCTTGGCATTTTCTTATTTAAATTTCTCAAAAATATCTAACAGTTAATTATGCCTTGCCCAGCCTGAACACGGAGGCATTGACTTTCACTATACCTCAAGGTCTTGGTGATTGCATAAGGTGAAGCCCTAACTAACAATCAATGCTCTCGAAGTTTCAAGCTACTTAACAATTCTTCAATTTTGAAATAATTTTGTCTGATTCTCATCCCTTTATTTGCAGTACCCGAGTTTCAAACGAATTAGGTGCTGGAAATCCACGTCGTGCAGTTTTTGCTATTCGGGTTATATTGCTCCTTGTTATACTAGATGGCTTACTAGTTGGTGCGATCATTTTGTTGGTACACAACTTTTGGGGATATTTGTATAGCAATGAACAAGAAGTTGTAGACTACGTTTCAAGGCTGACACCATTGCTTGCGATTGCTAACATCATGGATGGAACCCAATGCATGCTTTCAGGTAACTACTTCCTTCATCCAAGTCGTCAATAATATAGGGAATGATCAATCTTTAGCTGACAACACAAATTCATCATTAACACTTTTCCAACAGGATTGAAACACATAGGACAATCATGAATTGAAACTATGTTTTTATCCCACAGGCATTACGAGGGGTTCGGGTCGGCAAAAATTTGGAGCTTTGGCTAATTTAGGCGCTTATTATGGAGTGGGGATTCCCATGGCCATTGTTTTAGCCTTTTTCTTCAATATTGGCACGAAGGTTTGTTTTTGTTCTTCGACTATGTCTTGCCAATAAATTAGCTATTAATGCCTAAATAAATATTGTGTTTATATTTGTATAAAATAAGATGTGTTATTGCAGGGTCTTTGGATGGGAGTCATTTGTGGGAGCTTTGTGCAAGGTCTATCACTTTTTATCATGACAATATCTGCCAATTGGGAACAAGAAGTAAGTTAAATTAAATATAATTTTCTAGTTCACAAACTACTGCTGATTTTTAAGAATCTAATAGTGCCCTGAAAAAGTGGTTAAGAACTCTCTTTGTACTTTCGATTTTCAAAATTCAAGCTCTTTTTCTTTTTCATTCTCTAGTTATTTTATCTTCATTCTTTGTTTGTTTCCCCTTATGATCTATTTCACCATAATTACATGTTTCTCCTCATTCTCCAGTGTTCACATTTCTTCCTTAATTTTTTTGGTTGTTTTCTTTACCTTCTTCATCATCTGCTTCTCTCTTCATGCTTGGTTCTTGATGCCGACCTTCTCTATTTTGTCACTGGTCTCCTCTTCATCTACCTCTTCATGTTCATAATAATAAAATAAAATACTATCAAATATATAGCATTAATCCATTTATTTTGTTTTAAAATTTCCTTTAAAACATTGAAAGCCACTGATCAACAATAATGCAAGCCAAAGCATTTCATCAAGTTTCTCTAAACATATTCTGTTTTATTATCCAATTCCCTTCTGTTTCTTTGGGTTCCCACTCAGATGTCTGAGAGATGGAAGAAGAAACCATAGATGGGATAGACTTGGTGATATTGCGAGAGGAATTTTGTATCTCGTATTCTTTACTCAATCACCCTACAGCCCGTGAAAATATAGAAACAAGCTTGTGCTTTTGTATATGTAGATCCCATATTGGTTTTATAGTTCTAGACATTATTCTCGAAATCAACTCAGCCAAGGTACTTGGCCCTTGGTCAAGGCGAGTAAATCGGTTAAGTCCTAGTCGAATTGGCGGACTTAATAGACCACTGAAAAATGTAGAAAGGTCAAAAAATAAAAAATCTTAAAGAGCCGTTAAAAAAAAAGAAAAAGAAAAAGTCGAATACTTAATAGAAATCATTAGAAGACTAAACAAGATTAAGAAAAGTCCATAAAATGTGGACTATTAAAAATTTTGATTTATACCTTGAATATTACAAACAAATTAAAAAAATTTGAAAAAATATGATGTTCCCAAATCATCACAAAAACTATCTAAATTTCTAACCAATATATTGGTTATTTTTTGTTTTTCTAATATTTTTTGGGGGATTTTTGGTGCCCGACGAGTTGGTCACCCAACTTGACACTGGGCCAAGACGGAGTTACTGAGCTGAGTCTTGTGATATCGATTGTAGTAAACGAGTCCTGTGATATTGTTTGCATTTTCTCATGTTTTTTATTTGTTTTACATTGACTGAATCCTTAGCTTTTCACTTATGTTTCTCTCTTTTGTTTTCTAGGCGGGGAAGGCAACTGATAGAGCATTTCACTCAAGTATTCCAGTAATTAATACATCATAAGGCCATGTGACTGCAATGTCATACAAGTGCTTGTATAGAGTCTATGGATGCAGAGCAAAGCCAGTTGTTCAAGATGATTTTGAATAAAAAAATTTGATGCATTAAATTGCGGCGATATTAGTTGTTTTAAATTTGTACAGTTTTTGTAGAAATTACTCAATTTAGTGGAATATGTATACGCAAGAAAAAGGTTCAGCCAGATCTTCAAGTGGAGCTTTTGCTTTAATGTAGTAAAAATGTATTTACCAGTTCAACTTAGTATTGAAGCTTGGCTTATAGTGTATCAAGAAAATAAATGAGTACCAATGAAAAAGAAAATGCTATTTTTATGTTTTAAGTTGGGATGCTGCTCTTATTCTAAGCAAATAATTTTATTTTATTTTAACTTTTTGGGTGAGTCAGTGGGGAGAGGGCCCTTACTTTACATCATTCATCACGACTTGAACATTATGGCTGTGGAAAATTTGGATTTCAAGCTCTAAAATAGTGTATATCATAACAAATTATTTAGACCATCCATTTTGCCTTAAAAATAAATGTTCACATATCTACAAGGTCTATAACATTTTTTGAGTTTTAAATTTTATTGTTGGTGCTGAAAATTGATTTTAAAGCCATAAATAGAGATTTCAATCCCCAAAAGTACTTTTGGGACGAGGATTTAAAGTGAGGCTTTATTTTGTTATCATAAAGCCTAAGCCTTATAAAAACCTCATCCCATCTAAAATGACTTTAACAGTTATTTAAATTTTATTATGAAATTCTCCCTATAATTCCATGCTAGGAAAATATTTGGATATCCCGTGAGTCCAAATCATGCCATTTGGTCCCATGGCCAAAAAAAACAGTTTTGTAGGGTTTCTTTGCTCACCAAGACCCTCAAGTCATCGTCAATTATCTCAAAAAATGCAATTAAGAAAATGTATTTAAAGCTTAAAAGCTGCTCCAAATCATGTCCTACTCCCTCGACCATGGGTCATCTACTTCATGGACAATACATCTAGCATTTTAAGAACTCAAAATCATTCTTTTGTAATGGAGGTGATTTGGAAATTTCACATAATGAAACCCCTTTAAATTAGTGTTTTGCCCCTCGATATGTAGAAATTGGTTTATGATTGTAAGGTGTTTCCCACTTGGAGGTGGTCTCAAGTTTAGATCTTTTTATTGGCATGCAAAATGAATGAAAAAACTTTGTTCTGAACCAGTAACTTTGATTGGAAAGCCTCCTTAAGATGGCCACCTCTCTAAGCATCAAATATGATGCTAGAAAAGGGAGGATAGAGAAAGAAGTATTGGTGGCCTTGAAGGGAGGATAGAGAAAGAAGCATTGGTGGCCTTGAGCAATCCCCTAAACAAAGATTAAAAAAGTGGTCCTCAACCAAAGATTGAATGGCATTAAATAAGTATTGCCAAGGTCCTCAAACTGAGATTACGCTGAGTTTGCATTAAATATCCTACAAGATTTCATCTAGCATGACAATATCACCAATGTGGAGGTTAAAAAGATAGGCAATATGTAAAAACTCAGTGAATCTGAGCCTGACTCCCTGAGCTGTTAAGATTGGGCATCCTACTGCTTCTAGATGAGCCATTGGGCATCCTACTGCTTCTAGATGAGCCAGATTCATGTGATTTCTAATTCTGACCACCCGAGTTTGTCTGGGTATTTCAGAAGGGAAAGGTTTCCATACTTCCCCTACAGCATAGAAGATCTATAAATCCCCCATACCATCTAGCCGTCCAATTTTGATCAAGTGGGCTACACCATTTGATTTTAGATTTGATGCCTCAGAGTATTTTATTTTTAATTTTTTTATACAAATTGTATGAATATGAAATTTAGTACATGCAATCTTCTCATTGGGGTACACCTACAAAAAATATTAAAAATAATTTTTTGATGAAATATAATGATCAAAATACCCCTTGAATTTTTCAAGGGTATTTTTGTCATTTAATTTTATTGATAATATGTTTTTTGTATTTTTGAAAAGTGCGAGTTTAATAGAGGATTGGGCGTAAAAAATTTGGCATCAAAATAGTTTATATAAAAAATATTAAAAATAAAATAGTATAGGGATGTGACATTGTAATTGGGGCCATCTTAGCCTTCCAATCAAAATGAACTTATGGATAAGGGGAAGTATATAAGTTTTATGTTGTAGGAGAAGCATAGAAAACTTGCCCATTTCAGAAAATCAAGTCAAATAACCATAAAAACTTATGTTTGTTTTTTTTTTTTTTTTTTTTTAAAATAAAAATAAAAACCAACTCTCCCCAAGTAGTGCCAGAGTCCAGGAATGGGTCCATAGTTAAAACACTGAGATGATAAGCCGAAACTAAAAGATGATGATGTCGAAGGATGTTCATATGGAGCATTCATTCCTAAGGGTGCATTGCATTGGTCATCAAGGAATAAACAAATAAAAACAAACATTTAATGGGTTGTATCAAGCGCCATGCTCCATGGTCAAGAAAGAGGTATTCACCAATAAAAACGAAAAATTAAGAAAAAAGTGTTATCGTATGGATACATATCATATGGATATGTGTCTCTTGATAAGGTTAAGTGTCCTTGTATGGATATGTTATTGTGCTCTGATACCACTTGTTATGTGTGGAAGTTCTAAACCCGATGGGTTAATTTTTGGCAAATAAAGAATGAGAAATAAATCATAAAACATATAACACAAGAACACAAATATTTATGTGGTTCATCCCAAAAGGGCTACATTCACTAGCACAACAAACTGAAATTCACTATACCAATGAAAGTTACATCAAATATTTTGGAATAAACCTCGACAAAAACCCCAAGGCGAGCAAACCCTTTTAAACAACTCTCCATTCCTTCTCTTTACTTCTTGCAATATTGACAACACCAGATAGAGATGCGGGAGCAACGAGAAACTAACTTTCTCTCTTACTAAAAGGGGAAACAACCCAAAATCTTTATGGAAACCGCTTTTCTACAAGAAACAAACAAGTCTCTCAAACTTCAATAGTTTAAAAGAGGCACCATCACAATGTTTTTGTCCAAATAAAGTTTTTTTCTCTCTAAGAGAAAATTGCATGTTATGCACATGAGGCTGTAGCTCTCTCTCTAAATGAACCATTATTCCCACAAGGTGACCCAAAGAGGGCACAGAAAAAATTCTCTGCACTTTCATTCTATATATATAAGGTTAGGAACTCTATACTTTTATCCCATATATATAAGATTAGGAACTATACTAAATAGGAAACTTCCTATCGATCCTACATATATCTCAAAAGACCAATAGATATATCCAAGAGTTCTAATCCTTTTTGAATTTTTATTTCCTCTAGAAAACTTATCAATATCAATCTCATTCCCACATAATATGAAAATATCTCAATTCCACATAATATAGATCAATCGTAATCAATCCCAATAAATATAGGATTTCCTTATGCGGGTGATTTTGAATAGCACTAAATTCAACATATGTTTCCTTGATATGTATGATAGATATCTATCAATAATTGTTACTGTCTTTATATTTATATTGGTATTGTATTGTTTGATGGTTTTTTTTATACACTTAAATCCCCGGTACAAATAAAAGAGAGCCAGTGGCAACTTAAGCCCCTAGGTACCAAATATGCCTGTAGACTACATACCTTCTGACCAAATAAACCCTATTTTTTAGAAAGCCTTGATAATGATGCCGCATCAGCCCCAAATTAATCACATGAGTTACTTGTGATAATACAAGGTTGCCTTTCAATTTTCATTTGATTTTGGTGCAAATTAAAGAAAGCATGTAGAAATCAGTTTTTGGCCCAAGTTTGTAGCATGTCTATGGGGCATCATAGCTAATACTCTACTCTAGAGACTTCTAATGACTATGTGACCACCACCAGTGGACTTGAGAGGATAAGAATAATCACCAGGCTAATACCACCAAAACAAGGCATCAAAGTCAATCAGAGCATCACATCCTCCGACCGTGTTTTGGAGTCGTTCAATGCGGTTTAAGGATGCCAAACTCGGACCAACTTCATTTATCAAAAAAAAGAAAGTAGTTCGAGGTTGGTACCCTTGGATTGAGGGTAGTCTAGGAATGTAGACACCCCATTTTAAAACTGGCAAATTCTATAGTTTTTTTAAACCCTTAAGACCACACTATCCTAGTGAATCCCCAAATCATAAACTACCACAGTCCATACTGCCTAACCTATGATCCAGAGCCATACTGTCTACCCTGTGACCCATAATCCTAGAGATACCCTGTTTTACCAAAAAAATCACTAGAAATAGTAAAATAACTCTTTTTTATCCAAATTTTCTCTTGAACCTTCACACGAGCCTTCACTACACACTTGAACCAAACACTTTCAATTTTGGTCTGATTTGTTCTGGGAAACAGTGGCAATGCTGCCCAGCCCAGACTGGGCGATACCACTGGTGTCGCCCACCAGTGTCGCCTACCCCAGCTTGACTAGAAATCGTCAGTTTTTGGCAGGACAACTCACTGATCAGTCTTGAACATGAATCTGCCTTTTTGGGCAGTCCTGGCTTGGGTGACACTGGCAGTGTCGCTCAGCCTAGACTGACCCAAAATGGACGATTTTTGGTAGGCAACATCTTGACAACACTAGAATTGCATCAGAAATTTCCATTTTGAGCAGTCCTATCTTGGGCGACACTACCAATGTCGCCCAGCTTTGACTGCTTAAAAACGGTAGTTTCCTCATGCTAAAGGTCCCCCAACTATTTTGGGCCAAATTTCCTAAATTTGACCAATTTTGGCTGGGCGACACCACCGGTGTCGCCTAGACCCGGGACCCCAGAAATGGCAAATTCAGGCTGGTGATTTACTAGTGATAGTAAGTTGCCCTTGTGAGTCGATTCCCAATCTATAAAAGGATATTTTTTGTGGCTTCTAAGGAGGAAGGTTAGGTAAGAGTTAGCTCAAAAAAACCCTAGCTTGGAGATCCTTACTAAAACCTAAAACTTGAGAAGCTTAAACCTATGAAACTTTAGTTCTTCAGCTATCCTTAGGGTAGAAACCCCCTTCAACGAAACTAAGGTCTGGTCAATGCACCCATTCAACAAGGCTAAGGCCTGGTCAACATCTGGAAAAAGAGAGGTAAAGAGGACACCAGTTTTGATACGGATGAGCCCTCGAAGGCTCAAGAATCTCGAGCCACCTGGCCCGGTTTGGTATGCTTCTTTACCAAATCTAGCTGTGACCAGGACCCATGGTTTCTGTGCTACTAAACCCTATCTGTCTTGAGCGACACTAGTAGTGCCACCCAAACGACAGCACCAGTGCAGCCCAGGTTCAG